AATCGCTAATTTTCGAGTAGGGTTGTTCTCAAAGACCGCAGTAATGGCCTGGTTATTGTTTCGTCCATTAAGTACCCGTATGAACATAACAGGTGAAAAAATAGTATGTTCTGTCACGAATATAAATACTACCATTTAGTCAGTAGTTTCACTGCCCTTAATCTCCTTAGCAGCGTGCTCGGTAGAAGTTCAAAAAATGAACTATAAAATTATTTCGGTATTTCTTTATCTATCGGTGGTTCTGAGCATAGTGGTGCAAAATAATGCGTTTGTTCCCCCCGATACAACAAATGGTAAAAATTTCAGAAGACGGGCTGCCGATATTTCTGGCTGCAAAAAGGTGAGGATTTTTTTCTATTGCAAATACTTTTTGTTATTTTTCAAGTATACTTGTAATTGCTAATCATGGCCGAATCTCGAATGGTTCGTTTGCTAGTTTTTTAAGGTTAAATGCAATTCATTTGACAAAACAAGTGCTCACAGCCTCTTCCGTGAAGACATCTAGAACGCCAAAGCTAAGCCATCATCTCCGTTATAAAATGTTCCAGTATTAACATTTGAATAAAACATGAATTAAGTAAATCTACAATTGTTCATGTATTTCGATTTTCCCTATAAATATTCTCTTTCAGTCATTATATGGAAAAATTGGCCTTATTTCAAGATATTTAATTTACATTTAGGATGTATAAATAGTTCAAAAAGGTTTTCAAGATTTTCAAGCTAACCATTTGCTTAAAGGCTCAATTAGTTGACCATTGACTAATCAATTTGTTCATTTATTTGTGAAATTTGTCGAAAAGCAACAAGCTGTCATCAAATCTTTCTGTGAGCAAGTGCTTCCCTGCCCAGGTGAACGTAAAGTCAAGGAAGAACTCGACTTCAAGAAGACTGCGGACTATCATCAGTAACTGCTGACACCGATACCAGATTGAGAATCAAGGAATGGTCTTTAAAATACTGCGTAATAAAATAAAAATGGTTATAGTAAGAAAAAAAATAAACTTGTAGTCGATGTTTGCTTACATGGCAAAAAATGCCCTATCGTTCATTGATTTCCCTCTTACGCGCACGATCTCGGTTGCAATCAGACCCTGAACGCCATCAAAAGCCAAAGGTGAAATTACCTCTGGCTTTTGTTGTTATAGACAAAATAGCTTATAGACTAGCGCAACTTTGTCACTTCTGAGGTTATTGCTTTTGATTGATTACCAACCGGGTGATATTGTCATCTAGGATTCTCTCCCTTTTTGGATTTACCAGTGCCTTTCAGTGTTTTTTGTAAACGCGTCAGCACGTGTCCCATTTGGACCTGAGGTGTTATATTGATGATACATTAAGACCGTGCAATGTTTTAAATTAACATTAAAAATCTTATCTGGAAGACGAAGCACCAACAAATGCGAAACCTTTATATGCGCCTAATGAGTGCTGAAAAGAAAGCGCTTGAAACTGCTTTTCATCTTTTCAGCTCGTTAAAGAAGCCCTATTCTGAGAGATACCCAGCTGTCACATTTTTATTATTATTATTATTATTATTATTCATCGTTCAATGCTAACCAAAAAATTGGTACACCTACAAGGACTACATGCCTTCCTATTTGGAAATAATTGGATGGAAAAAGTTGGCTGTCAAAATCAGAATTGAATAATAAACGCCAATGCCGTTAGATCTTAACTTGACTCAGGTTTTCAAGTATGAGGGGCGATCTTTCCTTTGATCAAATTAAAATTTCATTCATAGACTAGGAAAAATCAGTCAAGTCGCAGTGACGATACTAATAATAAAAAAAGATAGTTCTATGTTTATTGATTCTCGAACAGAGAAGAAAAATCGTATTCCAAACTTAGCGCAGACATGAGGCCATTGGAGTTTGCTTGTTGAAGGAAGGTTTGTCTCACTTCCTATCATTAATTTTTTGGTCGACGAAGGGCTGAATAATCAGGGAAAAACATTTTTATGTGCTTATGTACAGAAGTTTTCGGGCATTATGCCCAAAAGAAGGAAGTTTTTCTACACCACTCGTTCCAGTCCTACACACCACACTGTTTCTAGAAGGAAAGAGAAAGGAAAAAAGAAGTTGACTGAGAATGAATCAACTAAAATCGAATTTTAATTTATAACCTGTTTTGTTCATTTTTTATTGTATTACTTTGTACAACTAACTTTCGAAAATCACTGTCGCGAAAACAATGGAAGAAAAACCAGAAACACGCTCTTCTCCTGTGTTGATTCAAAATTTTGTGCGTTAAAAATCTTACCTCACTCTTAGTTTCCAAAGACAGGTACAAATGGACAGGAGGCCATCACTTGGAGCCTTCAACTGCTCCGTATTTTTGTCACGGCGTTTTCACAGACAAGTCTATTTTTAGTTTGAATTTACCGCGAACTAGGACCCCCCACGATCACGAGAGCACATCGACCAATCAAGATTAGCGCCTTGTTAATTTCTAACTTTACTCGTTAATATATCGAAAGAAAAACAGCTGAGAGATGCAAGGCTTCGATAGTTCGAGTGCAGATTCGTGTGAACAGAGGCGTCCCAAGCTCACGTCTCGATGAAAAGCAAACGACTAATTCATGAAAGCGTCACATGTTGTGTGACTCGGTGTTAACTTACGGGAAGAACCGTTAAGAATTTGAACATGTATTAGGAATAGCATGGGGAACGAAATATGGTGAATTTACAACGATAAATATTTCGAAATATGAACATTTTACACGTAAAATCAATAGAATTTAATCACATCTTTTGTGTCAGTTGTGGTTCCCGGCGTTCTCTGCCGTTTTAAGCTTGCTTTGCCGTCACTGTTATTCCTGTTCTACAACGGTCGAAATCGAAGTGCGCAGCGTTGACTTCGTCTTATAACAGGAATAACAGTGAGCTTGGGACACTTGTGGTGTGAATATTTTGAAAATACCTCGGGAGGTAGCAGTTCCGAGGAAAGTTTTAGTGAAGATGAACCTGACTCTTGACTGTTCAGTGATCAAAGCGATAATAGGCAATAGATTTGACAAGATCGTAGCCCAATTTGAAAAAGCAGTGTTATCTTGCGATCTAGAAAAACGCTCTTCATTTTGTTGCACCCGCTTCTGTTCAATCCTGTGTCGCAAAATTTCCTCTGAGGACTGTGTGGATGAAGATTACTGAGATGAAGACAACTCGCACACAGCTTGCTCACGCAATTTATTGTTTCCGCGCTCTCCATCACCGCTGGCATTTCGCCTCTTCATCGTCTTGAATTTGGTTTCTTTTCATGAAATTTTCTTTAGAGGGGCCAGAATCAGAAGAAGGATGACCTTTCATATCCAAAAAAATTAAAAAATAAATAAATACAAATAAAAATACAACGATGATCTGCACTCCTGCCAATTTTTTCCGCAAGTGTGAACAATTTGCAAAGGATAGTGGGGTATATAAGGAAAGGAAAAATTGGAATATTGGAATACAGCAAAAGAAAGGCGGAATTTGCGTACTTTTGATATGAATACGTCCCCGCATAGGGCCGCCATTTTTTTTCTTCTCGTTTCAAGGATCGTATGACCCAAGTGAGCTCGAGTAGCCTATTTTCCGCGAAAAGATAGTCTAAAAATGAACCGTTCTATGAAAACGCCGTGATATAGGCTCAGTATGGGAGTTGAAGGCTCCAAGTGATGGGCTCCTAACTTAAATGTAGAACTTATAAGGCTTGGGTTGTGGTCTTCATCGATAATATACCCATGATCCTTGGAACAAAATCTCTCAGAAACTACCCCTCCATCTCCCCCAATATCAGACACTGTGATATTTCATACGACTTAGTGTATAGAAAGAACCAGAGAATGGGAAAACATCCAAAACGAACAGAAAGAAGTCTCTGAATAAAAAAGAGGATTTTGTGAACGTGAACAAAAAGCTGATCATATTAAGGTAATTTGAATTTTACTGATGATTTTCGTAGGCTTGATTTTTTTTTCCATTAAGATGGCATTAAACCTACACAAAAGTCAAAATAATGGTCACCTTCCGCCTTTTCCTATTCATCCACAAGGTTAACCACGCACTATATTAGAAAATAGTGTTTAATGAGGAAACAGCTCTTTTTTTACCACCTTTTCCATTAATTTAATCTCAAAGTGTATCTTGTTTTAAAACTAATGGGTGGTGGGAAATCCTACAGTCTTTCACCTGAACATCTTTAAGGGTAATATGTGTCCAAATTCAACATTTCCGCTGCGCAGTAAAAAAAGGAATCTGTTTTACCACCAATGGCTTAAATGGGGCGCAAAGCTTTGAATTACTCAATAATGAAGCCATTTAGTTAAAGTTTGGCGCCAGTGCACTCCCAATAAGTCTGTTCGTCAAAAACGCTTCGTAGTGACGAAATAAATCTGTTTTACTACCAATGGCTTCCAAATGGGGCACAAGGCCTTGAATTACTTAAAGATGCACCCATTCAGTTAAAGTTTGGCGCCAGAATACTCCCGATAAGACTGTTTGTCAAAACCGTAGAAAGAAAAGTTGACTAGTTTTCAGCTCTTCAACCGCATTTTCCCCACAAATTCAAGAAGATTTTTTTTTTCCAAATTCTTTTCTCTTACTATCATTAATAAAATTGAGATAATTTTCCCGGTGGTCTTGCATGGTAATTATTTAAAACATGGAACACGATCACAACTGACACTCAACAACAGTCCAATCACAGGTTTGACTCAGTGTAATTATCACCCGTAAGTATTGTTGTTCCTGTCATTAAATGAGGTTAATGGTCCAAAACGATAGCAAGCCAACACAAATCAGAATTTGAAAGACATCCATGAAATATTGCTCTACAATGGCGAACATTAATCGCTAATTTTCGAGTAGGGTTGTTCTCAAAGACCTCAGTAATGGCTTGGTTATTGTTTCGTCCATCATGTACCCGTAGGAAAATCAAAGGTGAAAAAATATTATATCCTATCACTAATATAAATACTACCATTTAGTCCGTAGTTTCACTGCCCTTAATCTCCTTAGCAGCGTGCTCGGTAGAGGTTCAAAAATGAACTTTAAGATTATTTCGGTATTTCTTTATCTATCGGTGGTTCTGAGCATAGTGGTGCAAAATAATGCGTTTGTTCCCCAGGACGACACTGGTTTCCGAAGACGGGCTGCTGATATTTCTGGCTGCAAAAAGGTGAGAATATTTTTTTATTGCATATACTTTTTGTTATTTTTCAAGTATACTTGTAATTGCCAAACACGGCCGAATCTCTAATGGTTCGTTTGCTAGTTTTTTAAGGTTAAATGCAATTCATTTGACAAAACAAGTACACAGAAAATTGAAAGTTCCAACTAACAGATCGTAATTGGTACAAACTGTTTGGACTTTTAGAACAGTTCTGATTAACTTAAGGCTTCCAGATATACTGAAGTGCTCACAGCATCTTCCGTGAAGACATCTAGAACGCCAAAGCCAAGCCATCATCTCTGCTATAAAATGTTCCAGCAATACATTTGACTAAAACTTAAATGAAAGGAATCCTCAATTGTACATGGATTTTAATTTTCCCTATAAATATTCTCTTTCAGTCATTATATGGAAAAATTGGCCTTATTTCAAGATATTTAATTTACATTTAGGATGTATAAATTGCTCAAAAAGATTTTCAAGATTTTCTAGCCAACAATTTGCTTAAAGGCTCAATTAGTTGACCATTGACTAATCAATTTGTTCATTTATTTGTGAAATTTGTTGAAAAGCAACAAGCTGTCATCAAATCTTTCTGTGAGCAAGTGCTTCCCTGCCCAGGTGAACGTAAACTCAAGGAAGAACTCGACTTCAAGAAGACTGCGGACTATCATCAGTAACTGCTGACACCGATACCAGATTGAGAATCAAGGAATGGTCTTTAAAATACTGCGTAATAATATCAAAATAGTTGTAGTAAGAAAAAAATAAACTTGTAGTCGATGTTAGCTTCAGATAGAATTAAAAAGACTCTAAATTAAGTTATGTTCAGAGTATTTATAATTATGGCCATAGAGGTGGCCTTACCCACCAAGGGGGGAGGGGTGGCTCATACTCACAAACTTAAGTTATGTCGTTGGGTTTAAGGAGGGGGGAAAGAGGCAAAGAGAGAAAAGGGCGTAAACTATATCCACACCGGTATCTGGCTACGAAAAAGCCGATCAGCGATATTTTACATGGCAAAAAATGCCCTATCGTTAACTGATTTCCCTCTTACGCGCACGATCTCGGTTGCAATCAGACCCTGAACGCCATCAAAAGCTAAAGGTGAAATTACCTCTGACCTTTTGTTGTAAGATGTAATTGGAGGGTGCAATAAGAGGGATCACTTAGAGGTAACTTTAATTGAGAGGGATCAGAAGTCAATTAAATTGCATATGACACCAAATGTTTCTTCCTGGTCTTCGTTTCTTTGATATGTGTAAAAAAAAAAACTAATCTGAGGTTACAACAAATTTCTGCAGATTACGTTTAGATAGTAAAAAAGCAATTATTTTTATTTTATTCACGATCAGCAAAGGTGCCACTTGTAAAATGACTGCATGGTTCGAAATGGAAACCTAATTCAAGTTACTCGCTATATTCTGAGTCGCTTGGCATTGTGAGTGATAAATTTCAACGCGCAATCGCGGTCAAAATGTGTGAAATGACTCAAATTTTTACAGGAAATTTGCGCGTCGGGCAGTAAGGAGAATTGCAATTGAGCTAGATAGCAGCCTGAGTGAATGGCTTATGTTTTACAAGCCAGGTGTACCTTTACTGTATGACCTCATTTAGATTTCTGTAGCATGAGGCGGCTAGGAATATTACCACTTTCCCTTGAGGGGATGCTAGTTTATAACACTCTTGGTGTGTCACGAAATGTTCCCGTCGTCTCCTATATTCCACTGGTATGCTCTTTACGGCTCGCGTCCACAACCTAGAAAAGACAAGTGACTCGAGGGATTCTATGGTATACTACGCAAAAGCTTTGCAAGACTATAATAAATATGTATCATCGAATTAGATTTTTGTTGAAATACAACCGAAGACGTGTGCTTACCACTGGTTGCTAAAGCAATGACTATTGATCACAATGTAACGGAAGTGAGGGTCTTCAGTAGGTTTTTCAGGATGTTGGATTAGGCTCATTTGAAGGCCGGGATCCGGGAATTTATGGCAAGAAGGGAGCGGGATGCGTGATTGCTATTATGAACGGGACGCGGGAATCAGCAATTTTGAGGAGCGGGACTCGGGAAATAATCACTTAAACGAACCGAGAACCGGGATGTCTCAGTCATGAAAAGCACCAGGCGTACAGGTTCTTTCATTCAAGAGGCAGTCGGGCTGCTCAGCGACACTCTTCAGTTATTGCGTGGGAATGAAAATATGTCATAGGCGAAGTTGCCAATTTATCAAAAATCCTCAATGGCCCGTGTAAGGGTAACGTGGCATCTAAGACTGCTGCGTCAATTGATATGCTTAACGGCTTTGAAAAACCTCAGAATTATAAAAGTCTCAGAATTATACCGATATGATGCTCTTAACCTGTTGAGTTACATGACTCAAGATGCGAAGAATATTCTCTCTGTTGTGCATCACAAAGATAAACTTTTCATGGTGTTAGACTACCCAAGTAACTTTGGAAATGTAGCTAAAAGAGGCTTCATGAGGACAACCCATTGGGCGGCGTAATATTTTACAAATCCAAATTCTTGGTATCTTGTGCCCGAACGTGCCAGGATCCAGTCGACCATACCGGTAATTCAACCGTTACCACCTGTGCCGATGGCACCACAGAGCATACGGAAGATGAGGGACTGGGCGTAAACATTTGTTGCAGCAGTGCGTCAGCTCTCTGTCAGACAGGAAACAACGATGGCAAGAGCTGGAACTTCCCGTCTTACCTCTATCAGAGAGAAATTCAGCCGGTCGTACCGGTCAGCCTCGAATGCTCGGGCTCGAGGAGCAGCAAGAAAACGGCGGGAAACAAGACGGAGAGAGAGATGGAATATTGGAGTAAGATTCCCCGAGTGATGATGATGATGACATTACATCTTGGAACAAGAGGCTGATTTATCTCCGTTGTAATGGAACTATGGGATTGCCGTGACCTTTTGTGTTTTGTGCAGTTGTTAAAAATTGTTATTCGTTTCTTTGATACGGACCTGCCTGTACCAATACGTTTGTCCGTGATCGAAGGTTAATAAAGGGAGGTCGTTATTGTGACTAGCGTACGTTATTCGTGCAAGACTTTGAAAACTTCAAAAATGAACGTTAACGATATCGTCATTTTGGTAACCTGACGCTTTACGGTGACCATAGACTTCAACGGATCAATGCTGGTTAAGAAAACCATCACCCACCGGAAAGGCCCTTCTAAGGAAATGGGCTTAGACAAAATTGTACGATCGAGATCGGGATTGGCCGGTATAGACCGTTGGGATTACGGTTTTGATAAAAAATTTTTGTCGGCATCGCGGGATTGAAGAACCCTATTGGGGACCCTCAGAAGTGTGGGTGCGTGGGTGTATGTTTGTATGTGTGACTGACCATACAGCATAGACACAAATTTCAATTCTTTTCTTTTTTCCAGATGAGACAGCGCTGGCCAAAATGAAACTTAATAGGATGTATATATGAATAAAGGAACGCAACTTAATTGCTAGTATAAATATTCTGTGCAATGTTATATTCCGAGCTGTTTGTAAGTTTCATCCGTCATTTCGATAAAATACGTTTTTGACTCTTGTGAAAGAGCTCTTTGGCTTGTAAGCGTACGCAATCCGCTCAAATAATCCAACAACTGACGTAACTTAACTTAGAGAAGGCAAAACAGTTGGCTATTTAAAAGTAAAGTCGATGGTGGAACGCAAAATCTGGTCAACAAAATAATAGTTAAAAATGCGCTATCCATATATAAGCTTTCGACAATTGATTTGATAAATTTATTCAAGAAATAGAATCGGTCCCTTATTAGATACTCGTGACTAAAGTTTTAAAAAGGATGCTTGGTCCTCACAATTTACTACCTCACGTTTATAATTACAGACATAAATATTCACATCATCTTTTTTTATCATATACATAAGTTAGAGAAAATATCCAGTCGTCTAAATAAATTTTGACCTTCCTCCAGCTATAGTGATGGTCATCTTAGCCTTCAGGTCAAAGTTGTTCCTGGTCCCTCTCAAGTGGAGCTTCTTCGCGAAGAAGACTTCGTTTTCCGTTTGCCATGTTACACGGACGGACTTTGTCACAGTATGCCTTTATAAAATCCTCCTGGTTAAAACAATAATTGATGTAAGTATATATACCACATAGATATTTAATGCTTTTAGAGGGCACTGATTGGCTAGCTAGCTCGGAGGTTCGGATCCAAGCCGGCGAGATATTCGTCAGTTTCGTTTTTGTCCATATGTGCGAATTTGCCAGAAATAAAGTAAATTTTAGTCCGTTGTTTATTCAGGGGAATCTGACAGAAAACTATACCTCTTCACTTTGGCGAACAATTTCCTAACTAAAAAATATGAGAAGAAAAAATTCGATGAATCTCGACAACGGTCAGGATGTTGATCGACATTATTTAATCAGAGATTTTAAAGTTCTTATAATTTTCCAAGCCATGGGAATGCTTATATTCTTTTTTATCGAATGGGCAGGAACTATTTCATTCTGTAAAAAACCTGAATGAACTCTTTGTCCACAAGCGTTTTCTACGACCCATGAGCCATGATAAAATGATAATTTTCAATAAAAATATGCATCCAGCTAAATTGAAACTCGCGGCTTCCTAATGTCTCCCAAGTTACCCAAAAGGTTAAAAATGGTGCGCGTTCAACTTAGCAATTCCTCTTTGCTTGCATAAAATGCAATAAATGCTTCATATGTTTGCTCGCAAAGACGAAACAAGCGAAATAGAATGAGTACTGCGCTGTTGAAGATAAAAGTTTAACGTCTTACCTGTTGATCACTGAATTTTCGCGCCAGTTTTCGTCTTGGGCACACGTGTGCAGGACAATTCATGTTGGGTGTGAATGTTCTTCCCCAGCTTACAAAAGACAATAAAACTAGCGCTAGAAACATCAAGGAAAATGTGCTATTCATATTTCCAAATCAAAAGGAGATTCCAATCGAGCAGTAACTGAGAACAGTTGGTTTGTGTTGCATTCTCTTTGACGAGAACACGATCATTTATATCTGCGATTTTCAGGAGAATCATGACTTAATGAGCGTCTTTGTATAAGTGCGTGGCGTCGGGCAGTGAGATAAAATGCTGCTCTAATGGATGAATTGCGATAGGATCAATTAGTGAACAAAAGACAAATGAAAAGTTCCTTAGTACTGTAATCATCCTGTAGTTTTTTCCCACTCCTAGCATTACTCAGCAGAAAAATAATATCACTTCCTTTACACTGGCACGTGCATCGATCAGGGAAGTGTCCTCGAGGTTTCTTTACGATTTTTGTCCATTATGAGTGTAATTATGACAGTCAAGAGGAAAATTGTTCTTTATCTAAATTATGCAATAGAACAGATGGCTTGTCAGATCAGAGACTCAGCTGTGATTTAAGAATTCAGATTTACTCGTAGGTGTAGTGAGTGGACACATTCTCCTGACTTCCGGCGTTGCGCAGATTTCTTCATCAAATAATGACCTTTTTAGTCATTAAGCTATCAAATAACACCTTAGTATGAAAACGCTTATCACTGATTGCAACAGCACTCAATTTTAATCACAATGTCTACAACTATTGGTATATCTGTATTACTGGCGATCGAGATAAGGCCACTATAAAATTTTATTTGATCAGATGAAACTGCGCTGACTATAGTGAAACTAAAATAGGAGTTTTGAATGAAAGACAACTGTTTGGCTGCTTGTGTAGAGATTATTTGCAAGGTAATCCTCATTAGATCGCGTGGTAACTTAATCCTCTCTTGGTTTTCAGCCACCTCATCGAAGAAAAATTTTATGATTACTGTGAAAGAGCACTTTGGTACTCCAGTAAGTTTATAAACATTCCACTCAAATGGACTGCACGTAACAGGATTAAAAGGTTAAACCGGCCGGGAGGAGGAAAAAACTGAATAAGCAGTTAGGGTGGAACGCAAGCACTGGAAAAAAACAAAATAAAATATTTGAAAAATGTATGATCTATAAAAAGGCTCTTAAACAATAGATATGAAAACCATTTTGAGAAATAGAACTGCATTTTTATTCGATACTATGTTAATGAAGTCTACACAATTCAGTATCTCGGATTTAAGATTGAAGACCCAAATATACACGTAATATTTTAATTTAATCTTATATCTAAATTTAGTTGGAATACATATTTATGTTCCTCTAGCTAATATCGTAATAATCTTTGCAAGTGGCTAAGGTGGCGAGCGAGCTCTGATAAAAAGAGGTAAAATATTTAAAAATGTTTAATCCATGTAAGGCTTTGATAAACTTATTTTCGTGAATGGAATTGATATTTTACGCGATACTATGTTGATGAAGTCCTAAAAATAATTCCAAGTCTTCACAATTTATTATCTAAGGTTTATAATTACAGAAATATATATTCATATAATCTTTCCATGGGTTACGGAAAATATGCGGTCGTCTAAACAATTTTTTTTAAATTACTCTGGCTATGTCATATTGGCTTCCAAGTCAGAAACGTTCCTGGTCCCTCTCCAGTACAGCTTCCTGCCGTGGAAGAGTTCGTTTTCCGTTTACCCCAGGACATGGACGAACTTTGTCACAATATGCCTTTATAAAATCCTGCTGGTTAAAACATTATCGAAATGAGTCTAAACCATATGGAGAATAGTACTTTTAGAGCGTGCTGATTGGTCAGCCAGTTCGGAGGCTCCAAGCGGCTGATGAATTACTTACTACTTATTTAGGTACGCTCGTTATTCAGCGTGCCTGATTTTTGACACAACAGTCATTTACCTCCCCTTCGGTGAATAATTTCTCAACTAAGCAAGGAAAAAAAGTTCGATAAACCACGGGTTCGGTAAAGATCTTGATCGATACACTGTTATCAGCCGTGAAAGAGATTTTAGAGAGCTGTTTGACAAGCTATGGGTACTGGGTTCTAGTTGGCATAAATATTTATCAAATGGACAAGAACTACACATTTCACTCTGTAAAAAAATTAATGTACTCTCTGTCAGCATGGACGGGTGTTTTCCACCGCGTATGAGTGATGAAGGAATGATAAAATTGAGTTCATGATCTTCATTCAGCCAAATTGAAACTGACTGTTACTAAATTGGATAAGAAAAATTTCCATTGATCAAAACAGAAAACAATGAACTTAGCACATCCTCTTGGGTTACATAAAAACATATTTTTGGACTGCTGAGGATGCATTACTAATGAATTACCTGTTGATCGCTGTATTTTCGTACCACCTGACGTTTCTTGCACTCAGCTATATGACATCCCGCACCGGGTGTGAATGTGCTTCCCAGGCATACAAAAGATAATAAAACTAGAGCTAAAAGCATCCAAAGAAATGTGCTATTCATATTTCCAAATCAAAAAGAGATTTAAATCGAGCCCTAACTGAGAACAATCGGTTTGCTGGAGTGAGTTGTGTTTACTTGTAAAAGAACACGGTCCTTTATACCTGCGATTGTCAGGATGAGCGTCTCTGTACAAATGCCTGGCGTCGGACGTTGAGATAAAATTCTGCACTAATGGTGAATGGCGATAGGATCAATTAGAGAACAAAAGGCAAATGAAAATTTTTAGTATTGCAGACTTCCTGTAGTTGTTTTATGCCCACTCCTGAATATTGCTTAACAGAATAATAATATCACTTCCTTTACGTCGGTACGTGCATCCCCCCAAAAATATTAACATGACGATAACTTCGTTCAGATAAATGCTTCAGATAAGTTAGTTTCAAAGAGAACAAAATCATAAAAACTAGCAGTCTTCGCAGAATAATTTACTAACTGTGCAGTGTTTTATTTTTACCATAACTGAAAAACTCTTTTGCTATCAAAGCTAAGATGCAATTTTTTTCTAGCACCCTGGGGTTGAGAGACGTATTTCACTGGCGTTCTCTTTTAAAAGTTTCCCTCAGGATTTTACAACTTTATTTAATATCAACACGTTTCTGCCGTAAAAAGCTCAACAAACTCTTCATGAATTCTTGATAGCGTAAGTTCTTAATCGCAATGAAGAAAGAAAAACCGAGAATTCATACAAACGGAATTTTATCGCACACGAACCGCGTTAAGGACTGTGAATTAAAGAAAGTTGACCGAAGTTATCAAGAGTGAGACTAAATTAGCGAAATGGAAAGTAACAGTGAACAAATGAAATTTTAAAATGAACACAAATTTACCTAAACGCATGAAAAAAACAGTACAAATCTCCAAAAGCTCTAAAACACCATTTTCATTTATTTTCCATTAAGTTGGTGCAAACTTGTACCTTGATAATTAATCATGAAAACGTCTGAGAAAATTTGGTTTGTTCGTTGTTCGCTGAGAAAAAAATGTAGAATCACATCGAACCAGCTAAAAGTTCAGTGTTTGTCAACTGGAGAATTAGTTGACTTAAAAGGGAAACCCAAAACATCAAAACAATTTTCAAGACCTCAATAACTTTGAAGATATATTTTTTGCAGGTCTGACCGAAAAGTTATTGATACTGAGAATAGTTGAAAACGTACTGCAGAGAACACAGGAACAAAGTTCAGGTGCTTAAAATAACCGAGGTCACTCTTTAAATCTCTCGAAAAATGCTTTCCCTTTCCTTAATTCGAAAGGAAATAAATTCAGGAAGACATTAATTTATCGCACAAGCCGAAGGGAAGCGACAGGAACTAAGGATTTTAATTCGCGTTAGTACTTGTTTGATCAAGATAAATACTTGAAAACTGAGCGCGACACTTTGTCAAAGGACGTGGGATTGACCTTCAGATGATGGATATTGGTTCGTAAAATTGATTTCTTTTTCCTTCTTATTTTGAACATGAAGATAGACATCATTTCCTTCTTTTCCAGTGCAATATGCTCCATATCCAACAGCAACAGCCAAAATAACTATCGGCCTTTTTAATCGCTGTAAATTGAACAACAGTCTGGGAACCGTGAGCTCTTGAACAAAACTTGGTCACACGCAGTGCCGTTTGAATCAACGTGCTCCCTATAAACCATATATTCTTTAAGCCGCTTTTTACCTTCAAAGCGAAACAGAATGACCTATTCCTTCTGTCGATAAAGTCATCCTAATGAAAGCACAATGAACGTATACAACTTCGCTTCCACGTGCTTATTGTCACTCTCGATGCCTACATTTGCTATTTCAGAGTGACATCCACTCACATATCATGTGTTTACAATAATCACTCTTAACCCTAATTCTTTGTCATGTTTAATTTAGCATATCATGAGTGCCTCACGTTATTTTGCGTCTTGTCATACTTCATTTATTATCGCTTCTAAGGTGTATTTCATCTTTGGTTGCATCCTTCTTTTTTATCCCATGAGGTTAGAGTTCATTATAAGAAAAAATTTAACCGCACAGATAGAAAAAGCACATGTCCGAGGTTACATCTAATTCCTATGGAATATACCCCCTGGAATTTCATCAAATTTGAAGTTAATTTTTCTTGGCTGAAAAAAAAAACACCTGGAAAAACGTATCTTTAATACACTATGAAATTAAGGTTCTAGTGCACATTCACGTGTTGGGAAGCTTTTGGTTATGTTGCGTAACACAGGAGTCAATAATTCCTTCCTTTTTCTTTTAAATTTGGTGATACGGCCAACCTGTTAATGAGACTGAACAATCAGAAACACAAACGAAGGAATTTTTTGTAAAAGTTGTTGTCTTGTTGATACAAAGCGATGACAATTCAATTTAGTTATTAAGTGAGCGGGCACTAGGTGACATTTGTGTTGATGCTGGTATATTTGCCTTTAGTAAAAGTATACATTCACCCTTGACCTTATTCTAGTGGATTTCTCGTCAATCCTGAGCAAGGCTTTCCCAAAAAAATTTTCCTTCAAAAGGAAACTGTATTGAGCTCGCATGAAAGCTGTGACAAGACGCAAAATTATCTGTCTCGTTCATAGATTATTCATTCCATGTCAGGCACGTCAGTGCGTGAGATTATCCGCCTGTCGAGCAGCTCAAACCATATCTGTCCCACTCAAGCGGGTAACTTCTTTGTTCTTCGCAGCCAAGGTTTATTCATTTATACCTCTTTATAGGAATATTTATTTCTGTAATTACTTATTTTGGCATGTGGGGATTTTTTTATCTCAAACAGGGTAAGTGTATGGCTACAAGACCGCACTCTGCTAAATAGACGTTGTTCTGAAGTGGGTATATTTCAGTTCGGTTTAAGAAACACCAAGCTCAGTTAGGTCTATGAAAATTCATAGGACAAAACATAATAATTTAAATTCAATTGAAAATTATGATTAAGTGTAGACATGAAGTTGAATGAAATAAATTTCGTCGCGACCTTGCTAATGATCATGTCGGGTAGTAAATTAGTTAGGAATTTGTGTAATCTAGACGCAAACCTTGGAGTGTTTTGGACAGTTTTCATACACATGTTAAGAGAAAATTTCATTTGTTTGTAAATTTTTTCATGTCAAAGGAATTTGAAAAGCACGTTGAAATTGTTATATTGATGCCCACATTTGAAAAAATTTCCATTCTCGCTATCACCTTAGAGCCTGACAGAAAAATATGCCTCCTGAGGTAGGAAATTTGAATTGAACACGATCCGTGGTTGCATCGGTGCTATACAAATAACCTTTGAAAATAAAGGGAATCAGTTTTTTTTTCGGTTCTTGTCCAACATTCAGACAGCCAAGACACAACAGGTGATGCTCTGATCAATTTTAATTTCAACTCATAATGCGATTGGATACTACGATTTATGAGCTCGGGGAAACGACAAGGGAATAGGGTTGGGGGCAAATTTATCTGATTCAGCTGATTTTAATTGAAAGAGGAATACTGGCCACTGTTTGAGGACTGGCAACTAAGCTCAGGTTACAAGAAAAACATTGCATTTTTCCCAGCTATCTGTCGATAGATATGTAGGCACGGTATATTTCAATGCAAGGAGTTAAAGGATTCAACGCCTACCACAGGAATTTCTTCTAACGACAATGTTTGGATCTTTAACAGGTTGTCACCGTTTTTTCAAATTAAAACAAATTTTCATAACTTGTTCAAGTTTGGAACTCTCCATCCCGGTTAATTCTCTCGTTTACAGTTTTATATTCAATTTTGATCGTTATCGATCTGCAAGCAACAGCTTAACTAAAAGTTGTGGCTTCCGTCAATTTTGGGGGAATTTTTTCGTATCTCAAGCAAAGAACAATTTTAAATGAACGAAGACACTTCGGGAAGTTTCCGTTATGGCTGCAACCATGACTTGGGGACTTAACATGTCAATTTTTGCAGGGGAGAAAAGAATAAAATCCTGTCACATGATCCGCAGTCGTCTTCCTCGAGATCTTCTCTTTCTCCTTATCATCGTATTTTCTAAAACTTGCTTTTTTTACAGTAAGCTAAGACTTTGCCATAGGTAAAATCAAGAGATTAAACAAAATTTTTAAAAAGTTCTCAATGTTCTAGTTTTTTTGTGTTTTTTTTTTTTTAAACTGGTGAAAAGTGTGACTCTGTGTTTATCTTTATGAGAATCTAAACGACAGTTTTTCGAGAAATAGCCGGGAAAAGCTTTGTGACTAGCATAACACCGTTTAATCATAACCTCGCCAAGTACAATATAACTAGACTGTGATCATATATTAACGGTGGAACATGCGACAAGTCGCGTACATACCTCAAGGCTAGTTTCCATTAGGTGTAACTAGTGCGTTATTTTCCGGAAAATACTGCCTCAGACAAATGGTCTTACCGATTTAAATTCACTTTACATATCTATTTCCGCAAAGCTAAGCAGAAAGATTTACTTCATATTTCCAAAGTTTTAGGAGGTGCAGGAGATAAATGATCGCGTAGTTTTCGCAAATCCCTTGTGGCCTCAGTAAAAGGTTCTATTTCCTGCAGCATATTCCCTCTTTGTTCAATTAGATGATAAACACATTATAAATATCCTTTGCATTTAAGGTACAATTGCGTAATAAGCTCTCTTATCCCCTTGGAGTCTCCAAAAAAAAAATTAAGCACATGTTCATCTTTTTTTTTAAAAAAAACCCCTCCCGCTGATCTCACAAATAATTTCGCTGAAACGTGTCATATTTCACAATTTTACGCTAAGTATGGAAACTCGATAACGCTAGCCTTTCAAAATACATAGACTTAAAAAACACAGCACAAAGCTTTCATTAAGAGATAAGGGCGCTTTTTTTAGCTTTACTTTTGCCGGATCTGAACGAAATTAGAAAATTCAGCGACCGGAGATACGTGTGTGCTTAAATACAACGGTTGATGTTGTTTTTCAAAATTTGAAAAACATATTTAATGTGCGGTAAACCAATATGAGACTATGACAAAGAAGAACATGGGTTTTTCGCTTGAGCGCTCGGGATGTAAAATAATCATTGAATTAAAGCCTTCCTTACACTGGCCCCAACATCTTTTTTTCTTTTACCACGAAAGCCTCTTTCCGTACCAGTGATTTTTTCGCCGAAGAATCTTTATTTTTACAACTGAGGACTGAACCAACTAGAAATATCGCCAGTGATTGTAAATTTGTCTTACATTGAACTTATTTCGTGTTAAATTTTCGGAGAACGTTTTCTTCTATTGCTCTCAAACGGTGCAAGGCATCTTAAAAATGAAATGATTTATAATTGGTGTTCAGTTGATAGCTTTGCACCGTAACTTTCTCCTTGAAGTGATGTTTTAAATAATCGTCGTTGGGGAAAGCTTAATTTCTTGTTTGGGTCGGATGAATAAGCCGGTGAATCAGAAGATAAACAACATTAATACTTCGAAACGCACATCACAAAAACAACACAGGATAACTGATTAACAGAAAAAAAAAAAAAAAACCTGTCTTGCAAATTTGCCGATTTTCTTGATATCGTTCTGTTGGCCATTCAGTGCCTTATAGAGTCTATCGGCTGCACAGAACTTGTTTTACCAGGCATTGCTACGTTTCGTGAAACACAACGAGATAAAAGCCTTAATCTGGCTGATTCGTTTTCTAATTAATGTTTTCATCGCCTAAGTTCCTTTCCTTCTTAAAGGAAGCGTTGCAATATTAACAGCAGGAAGAAAACAACAGGAAGAACCGGCCATGATGAATCTTGAACAGAGCGCGGAGACTCTTAGCGAGATAAAACGCTTCCTTAACAAGAATTAAGTTCAGCTGTAATCACCTGTTCATTTATGATTTAAATTTTGGAATCAAGTGAATAAAAGGCGGTCATTCAGTGCAATGAAGACATCAAAGACCATAAAATAACCTCTGATCAGACTTCTCGGTACGATCGGTTGGCTAAGGCAGAATGAACACCAAATTTTCGTGGATTCTTGTGGCTCTTCTTTTAAGTTCGTTTGTATGTTGGAGTAGCACATTTGCGCCGGGCCAGCATAACCCAAAGATGCGTTATGGAAAACGACATTTTGTCCCACAATCCAACCGTGCAAATGTAAGTTGATTAATAGCAATGCATGTCGAATCATTTCTTCCAGGACTGTTTTTCACTTTCAAAATAATTTTTTTTCCCTCTGATTTACATGGAAAGGTCCGCTCTCTTTAGTTTTTTTTTTTTCCTTGCTTGTTTTCAGTTTCCATATTTGTTTGCATTACAGGAATACCTCCCTCGAGCATGGCTGAAAAAGTCCGTTGAAGATACTGCAAAAAAGCAGTTCAAGGCACGGCTTGAATGAGGCACGTCATCGGGCGGAGTTCAGCAATCAGTTATCGAGTTTAAAAAATTGGGTGAACGATTTAGGTCTTACATATTTCTTTTAGAGTTATTTTAACGAATTTATTGCGTAAGGTATGAATTATTTTTGTAATCAAACAGTTATAATTAAAAGATAAACCCTGTAAGGCTGACATGGATCTGATGACATAATCATTCACTCATATCTCTATTTCAAGTGACATCGTCATTAGATTTAATTAGCTTTGATGTAAAAGAAGCAAGAACTTAACGGAATGTTACCTCCGTAAACTAAAAGTATGATTATTGTAATTCTGAAAAATGACTTTCTCAAATATTAAAGGTCATGTTAAAAAAAATACTCTTTAATAGACACAGTTAGAGCTTAACTCAACAGGGTGATTTTGTTTTACGACTAGACTCTCACTCAACAAAACGAGTACTGTGATTGGTCGATTCGTCTCGGGAAACACCAGGACTCGAGGGAAAACAAGTGTGCCCTCCCTTAAGTACTTTGTTATATATTTAGGGACCATACATTAAGTGAATATTGGTTCGACTGTACAAAGTACAGAAAGTTTAACACCAAGCTATTACGCTCCCTATACAACTTGTTGCCCAATTGAGCGGCGGTTTTGTTTTAAGAATGATTCCGTTTGGACTGCACCGTGATTGGGAGAAAAGTATTCATCCTTACAATAAAAATAACATTATTTACAATAACAAATCATTATGATGAAAACAATAATAATGATAAAGTTAAAATTTGACTGAAAAATTATGTTATTAGGACTGAATCAAGAATAAGATCAAAAAGTAATTTGGCGAATAAATTGAAATTACGAAGACAACCTAACTTAAATTGCACGTAATTAACGGAATGAGGTTGATTACATTTCGTTCATTTACCAATTAATCATGTCAATTCCAGAATTCAAGTTAAACTTATCAAAACGATATTCGATGTAGGTACACAATTTTTGTGTTGTGACGTTCGTGAATAGATCGCACCAATAAGAGCCAATCAGATTGCATCGTCATTTGCTCTGACGAAGGGTTAACGTTCTAAGCGTCCGCTTTGAAACACTTGGCCAATTTACGTCATTAACTCAGTTAGTAATACCAAATTACCCTGCTATACTCTCTCACCGACGAAGCACCACTGACAGTTTCTTTAGAATCTGAATTACCCCCTCTAACCTCTTGTGTTATAAGTTTATTGTTTAATCTTATTTATTGGTACACTTCAGCTGTCCGACTGTTTCTGTTGTGTATCTAATTTACTAGATCCAGAAAACAGTAGAAACTTAATTAAGACACAAGATAGCAGTACACATTTGTAAACTCAAACCTGAAGCACAAACAAAATATGGAAACCGATCAAGTAGCATTCGTCTACAAGAAACCCAAACGGGAAAATTTGACAATTTCCTTTCGTTTTAAATCAGTAGTTCCAAACAGCATGTTAAAAGGGCAGGAAAACAGCAGATTTTTACCAGTTTATTCTATCATTCTGGTTTTAAACCCGAAGATTGATAATTATTGGTTAGCATGAAATAGATAATTGCTAGGAAGATTTCCTTCTTTGTCACATCGATTTTGAAATATCTGCTGATCCTTGCAATCTGATTGGCCCTCGTCGATGCGATTTATTCACGAATCGCGCCATTTTTTGCTATAAATCTCATCTTATTCCCAGGCAATGAAAAAACTTTACAAAGCACAGCAACCAATCATTTCAAAGCTTGTGTAAAGAAACTAATCAAATTGCAGGAAAATCAGACACAACTTTTGCAACATTTTAACAACCAGCTTAGTAATGGCTTAATAAAGTATAGATATCTATAGACATAAGATACTGTTTTTGACCGACTGTGTTTTTTCCATTTCAAATGGATCATGGTAATAGAGTGGCAATTGATCTTCGTATCAAACTCGAGCTCTTAGACCTTATTGCACTCCATTCAGTTCAGTTATTATCATTGATTTCTATTCGCTTTTTAACCTTCCGATTTGGCATGTCTTGTTACAAGCAGATACAAAATTCATTCACCGTGAAAGGTGAGTGACGCAAAAAAACACCCAAAAAAGTTATCATGATTTTACAAGTAGACTGTTAGGGCTTTTCTCAGGGCTAGATATCCTCGTAAAACATCGCAGTTTACATAATAAGTATAGGTAAACAACGTGATTTCGAGTACAAATTTGTGTTAATTAGTACGGGTAAATTTTTCAAAGACAACAAAATTGCACGAGCCCGTGAGGCGAATGCAATTTGTAGTCTAAGAAAAATTTACAAATGCTTGTATACACCAAATTGCACGAGAAATCATATAGCTACTTGTTAATAATTACAAGAAAAACACATCACAGAAAGTCTAGACGGATGAAATTTTGGCATCGTGCGCGCCATTTGTAACTTGCACTCGTGTTGCAACTTTGCACTCATGTTTCATAAAAAATGCACTCGTTTTCAGCCAATCATGTATATTTTTAAAGCATTAATACATACGCGAGTAGATATGGAATTTCTCTCCGAGTGTTCACTCACTCGATCGCTGCGCTCAATCTTCAGAAATGTGGAGTTGCACCTTTAAAGAGAAATATCTACGAACGCCCATGTATAATTCAATATCAATTACATCTGGCACTGAGCGCAGCTTGACACCACAACTAGTGACGCTTAACAGAAGACCCCACTTCATTCAAAACCAATGACTGAATTGAATATTTCAGTCATTTCGCATTGAAATCACCTAGAGCACTTTCATTCATTTGTTCATGTTTGCGTGTAAGCTATCTTCACTCTCGTCAGTTGCTAGGTGTAAGGATTGATAGGGCAAAAATATTAACGACTTCCAACAACATTGTTTCCTATCACGCAGATTATCGAATCTATAATAAAAAGCTTAAAGTAATTAAATATCACAGTCCTAATATTTCATTGCAAGCGCTGAAAATGTCAAAGACTCTTTTTAAGATGGTAAATCGCTCATTTCATTGGTATTGTGAATGCTGTTGGTGTGGTCAAGAAACAGAAATCGGTTGAAAAGACTCGGTGTTTTTGCTTAGACTTTTAATTATCCCTAGGCCGTTTGCAAAACAAATACATCCCCTCCAGCAAAGATTATATTCAAACATTTGTAAGAAGATTTCCAAACGTAACAAAGTGCCATGATGATGATGCCTTGAGTAGGTAAGGATTCGGGATTTCATCTCGCTACTTTTCGATCGGAGAAGGTTTGGACAAGGATTTTATTAGCGTGTAGATCAAACGGTATGTAATTTACAAAGGAAAATAAGAAATTATCTGAGTTGAGGGTTCAGTTCATTAGAAACATAAACATCATTGAGAGAATAAAGCAAAGATAACGGTTTGACCGTTAAAGAGATGAAAAACGCTTCACAGCAAAAACATATCACTAAGCGGAGAGAATTATCCTTAAATTCACATTTGCCATGAATCATTTGACGAGGTAAAACGGAGAGTAAAAATTTTTTTACAGTGATTCAAACTGAAACAACAGTTTTAATGAAAGGATGTTGGGCGACATGCAGCCCACAATTTTCGGAAGCGGAAAAACTTTTTCTTTGTCTCATAAAAGTCACAACAACAACTGCAGAAGCGATAAAGGTAATTTGAAATTCACCTATTGAAAACCACTGTTCTTCTGAGCATAAAGGGCGAAGTTTAATTGAGCTGTATTCTGTACTAAACTGGATCAGTGCATCATCTCAGAGACAACCTCTGATTCGTGAACTCTAACTCAAACGATAAACGACATGAATTCAAAAATGGCTGTCTTGATTTTAGTCATTATATCAGCTGCCTTTTTATGCCAGAAAAGTGATGCTTTCGCCGCTGGCTTAGGGAACATGAAAAAAAGAGAATCGAGGGAGGTAAGTAACCTTCCTCTAGAGTTCAAGATGCTTGTAAAAGCTGTTTAACCAAGCACCATGTATTGAACGGCATTTCGTATAGTTGTAGAAAAATCCGGTACAGTCAATTTTACAGTTTTGTCTTTCAATTTTCAAGACCTTCATTGCATGAGGTCCAGGCTGAATTGTACTTGGTGATTTGCATGGCAATTGAATTTAAATAAACCTCCGATATCATGAAGAACGGCTTTTAAGCCTGAATCGTTTAAAAACACTTTAATGAAATATTTAACGAATATAAAAAGTATAACCGATCTGTACTTCTCTCCCTCTGAAGTAGATATAAGCTGTATCTCTAGGATTAAAAGTGATCTACTGCTTAAGTACAAACAGCTATGACAATCGTCTTTTAATGACTGGTAGCCGCACCCACGCTGAAAGTTAAGGAAAATACTCCGACGAGCTAAATCATCTTAAGTTTTAACACGAGTTTAACAAGACATTACATGGAATATAATTTATTTATCGAAATTAAATATTTTCTTTATTTCTCGTTTGGCTCGAGATTCAAATCGGAATCGCAAGGTAATGGTCATATAAATCTGAGAACTATAATATCACTGCTAAACCATTTTCTTTGTTTACTTTGCTTGTAGCCATATTTCTGCGGAATTCACTTTCTCTTCCATTTTTCAGGTTTTTTTAGATGAATTTTAAGTCCCAAAAATGTCATAAATCATGGTTTAAGTTGAGAACATTACTCGAAGCAGATAAAAATATTCAGTATAAACTTACTACACTCGAAAATGAACATTAAACAGAAGACCTATTCAAAGGAACAAATCTGGTGTTTAGGAGCGCATGAAAAACCATGTAAGATTCGGTTATGCACGGCAAGAGCTGGGGAGAGAGAGAGAAAGAGAGAAGAGAAAGGTACCTCTTCAAGATATATGAGCCAGCGATGCTATAAAGGTTGCTAAGCTATAGCTAAGAGTCTTGACTTATCACTGATTCTGACACTGGTCTCACTTCTTATTTTGAATGCTGCTTTATCAATTTCGTATTGAAAGGGCGAGAACAAAACCCAGCTCTAGATAAAGAATAAAATTATCTTTAAAAAAAAGTTCCAATAAAAAAAATGTAGATTTTCACGGGTAGGCGTCAAAGAAATTCAAAGTTAATCTTCCTTGAAATCAAAACAAAGTTTGTCTAGGATTTCATTTTGCTTTTGATTGAATGTATTCAAAGAAAAGGTGCTTTCTCTTCCTTAGAAACTTTTTGCATTCATTTGAAATATAATAAGAACAAAGAGCAAAAGTGAGAGGGTTTCAGTGGGGTTAACCGCTGGCCGTATAACAGCGACACAATTTATCAGCCGTTAGGAGTAAAAATTGACAAAATTTAACCGTAAGTCATAAAACAAATTAATTGTTACAATTTTTCTGGTGACAACAATGGAGAGATATTAAGCGTTAACAGTAAAGTGGCCAAAAGTTTAACCGTTAGCCGAAAAAGCCATCACCCCATTGAGACCCTTAAGTGAAGATGTCACATACTGTCTGATCAAAGCGGCACCCAGTCCCCCCATTTCAACTTGACACGTCTAAAAAATTTTCAAAATCAAAGATCTCCAAAAGAGATTTGACTTCAAACTGTGAGAGACTAGATTTGCGCGGGTATATTTTACTAACGAAGAGAGAACCCTTTGTATTCGTAATCAAAAGAAAAAATACTTGGTTTTTATGTTTATTGCCGAATTCCATACTTTTGAAAGACATGGCATGCTGCGGGAAAAAAGTAAAGTTAAACATAACATGTCCTTCTTAGGCAGAGAACTCAAAATGATAAATTATAAGTATGAGCCGCCATTTAGAAAACGTTTTATCCTCAAGGTGGGAAAAATGGGAAATAGTCCTTAGACTTAACAATATACATAGTTTTGAGAATTTAATGGCGAAAAAAACCTGTATATGTAGT